GGTCCAAAATTTGAAAATAAGGAGCCCTAGACCACATTCCTCCTAGATGAAAAACATAAGACACCACCATGGAATAGTCTGAGTGAAGTCTGATGATTTACCCCTTAAGAAGCCCAGACCATGAGACCTTGCTTGTTAAAGAGCAAGAAGAATGAAAACATTGTGTATGGAATCTTCGTTGTCCATGCATAGACTCTATAATTCCTAACTGTTGATATATGTACCACATCCCTGAAGCAAGGCATATGTGAAGAGAATGGAACTCTGAATGAGGCAGCAGTAAAGGAACCCAAATTGTAGTAGTGTCCTGACTTAACAACCCCTCGAGATCGAAGAAGGAAACTGCAGAAACTAATAAATAGATGTGTATGTTCCCTGGTCACTTAACCCTATCGCCCTGGGTATCTTTTACTGCACATTACACAAGGTTTTAGAGTACTTTTTGTTTATGTTATACCAATTAGAATAGCATAAAATCTTAGATAATAATCCATGTGTTTATAGTATACAAGTTTTAAATTCTTAATTCTACAAGGCAATATTAAGATAATCTTGAATATCCACCAGTGTGACTCGCTCTCGTGACACATTTTCTCTTAACATGTCATCATCCCTATTTTATCCACCACTCCTCAAAAAAGTATGAAATTAAATGTAAATTATTCTCTATAAAATCGTTGTTGCTCAATCAAACCATAATTTTTATAGTCTTCAATTTTGTTTGGTTACAGAGCTATCAAATAGAAAATTAGACCCTTCCTGCCACACACACACCTGTCACATCCTCTCTTTCAGAATTCATTGATAGTTTTCTCTCTTATGCTTTATTATATATATTACCTATAACCAATAGAAAGTCAAAGTTTTCATCTATCAAATGACATTTATATAATGTTATATTCTGAACAGTTAGAAGTCAGTTTCACTCAGAGTAGCAACATCAATCCCGTGGGAAAATTAACAACTAGCCTGGATGAATTTGTAACAGGTCTTGTCGCATAGTTAGAAAGCCAAAAACATTTGAGACTAAGGGAATTTATCTACCTTTTACATGTTATTAGTCTATATTCTTTGGTGCATTATTTTATTAAATAAAAAATATTAAGTGTATTACTATTAGTACTATAAAAAGGAAATTTGAAATTTTTGAATTGTGGAAAAGTATTTTTAATTTTAACATGAAAATTACTTTGCACACGAACTATTCAAAATAAATACTCAATATATTCATGGACAAATCTTTATTTTATTTTATTAAAAACACTTCACTAAAAAATATGATTTTTTGTATGTGAAAGACTTGTAATGTTATACACACTATATTGAGTGTTATAAGTATTAAATCTATAAAGACTTTAAATGAGTACAAAAAGGTCACGTGATTGGTCAAATTGACCGAGCCCATATTGAGAGAGTTAAAGACTAATATAAGGATCGCTTGTGTCCCAAAGGCACGAAGGATTCAAGTGATGTCCACATTCCCAGAAGAGAAAGAACCATCCGTGCAGTGGGAGAAGGAGAGGTGAGTAAGAGTCAGGCATCCTATTCTATAGTGTTGAGCAGGATGGGAGACAGCTATGCCCTACTGAGAGATGAGATTAAAAATAAAAAATACCCAGACTGATGACATATTGAATTGGAGCAAGAAAATATATCATCATCCTGAAAGGGAAGCCTGCCTGGGTTATATCTGAAATTAGAATGAGGATGTGATAGTCTAACAATTGACGTGATGTTGCTAGCAGTAACCAGTCATCCATGGAATGGTGTGTGCACAGTATGATGGAATGAAGGGGCTGAGAAAACTCGTATGATATGGCAGAACACATGTGAAGCCTATGTGAGTCCAAAGGAAAAAACTCCAGGACTGCAGTACCTGACCCTTGTACACCATAAATGCCAATAGTGGTAGGACTCCGCCACTAAGGCAAAATGCAGATAGGAGCCAACTACCACCAAGTTGGACATCTACAATCCCAGTAAAACAAACAACTCAAATTGAGGAATGAGTAACTAGTGAACCTTGGAAAATTTAGAAATTGATAGAGACAAGGAAGAACAATGACTGGACACCAATCTCCTGTCTTCATAGGCCCAACAACTAACAGGAAAAAAAATTCTGAAGAACCAGCCTGACTCTCTCACTACCCCCAGACCAACCAGACTCATATAACTCTAGAACTAAGTTCCAAATTCAGACAATGAACTGTGGGAGATAGAAACCCTACAGGTTGGGTGGATAATAGTGGGGAAGATGTGAACTGAATGATCAATCATGACCCAAGAACCTGCAGAGCTTCTGGACCCATAGTTAAGACTACCATACATCCAGAAATTCTTGGAACTGAGCCCCCACAGCACCTGAAGATAAACAAGAATCACCGATGCTTCTGGTAATCCAACTAAGCAGTGGAAATCTTGTATATATACTGAATCTATTTTTAGTACCAATACAAAAAGGAGCTGATGTCAGAGGTCAGTACTCATGAATAGGGGCAGAATTATGACCCCCTGTAGGAACTGATTAAATTCGAGACTCCAACAATAGCCAGAAGAAATGTAGAAGTCAAAAATTGAACCAACCTGCATGCTAACAATGGATCCAGCTCATCCTCAATGAAGCTAGTGATCCTGAGAGTCTTCTAACAAAGTGAAGTGAAAGAAAACAAAATGTTGAAGTTGAGTTGTAAATCCATAGACTTACTCTGTCCCATCAGGGGACATAGACTTATATAGGTTAACTACAACTCCACCTTAGAACCCCAAAATTCGAGGAGCAGATGTATTATTTTAGATTTAGAAAAGTGCCACCACCTGATGGTAGGCAAAATCACAAAGTTCCGACAATGTGTTACAGGCTCAAAAGCAACTGAGAAAAAGCCCAAAACATCAAAAACTAGAAGAACCAACAGAAGTAAAACAAATCAAACGCAGCTTATCCCAAAGTGGCATCCTTTTCATTTTTCATAGGCCATTTAAAGACCATGGTGATTATCACTGATTGAAACAGTATCGTGTGAGGTAAAGGAAGTTGTTTTGTTAGTGCAAAGCAACTATGGGCCATCTGCCACTTACACCCTAGGAAATTTAACCCCAGCCCTAGTGCTGTGAGTCCATAAACTTACCACTGACCCACAGGGGTGCTGAAAATCCAACAGACCAAAAGAAGGCACAGAAAAAGCGAATCTAAAGTCTCTCTGAAATGTCGAAGATCGCCCTCATTTGCAGCCTCAGAGGCCCCCTACAGGATCACCACAGATCCGAAAATATGTCTCTATCTCACTATAAATAAGATCGCTGACAGTCTCAAGCAGAATTCTTGCTAATTGGAAGAAGAAAAAAAAAGTAAATAATTTTTTAAAAAATATTATTATTGTTATGAAATCAACTAGATAACATGATAACTTTCAAAGTATTTCTGAACAATCACAATACTGGGAAACCTGTTAGTGACGCTTTGTTGAGAAAAAAGTGATAAAATCAACTGAATGAGGTGCTTATATACAGTACCAGGATAGAGGATGCACTAATGTAGGTGGAGAGTATCATGAGATAAATATCGCCAAGGGCAATTGAGTGAGGTATAAAAGACTGGAACAAGCAAGAAAAATTCAGACCAATGATTATATGGGCAAAGAAACCTAGCAGTCCAGTAATAGCTATAAATGGCAGCAGAGGTAAGTATGTTTTTGAAAAAAACTTTTAACACCTCAATCTAAAAGAATCATAGACTTTCTAAATTCAAAGGTAAGTACAGACTGTAATAGCAAGTATGAAAAACATTCACATTTGCCCTAAAATATATTTAAAATGTTTTATTAAAACTACATACCCCAGATAGGTAAGTCATCAATATACAGCTGATACCAGTAATTATTTTTTACAGCATAGACGAAGGCCTGGAACTTCTCTTCTGTTAGTTCTATCTCACAGTACTGGGTTTTTGGCATGCTGGCTACAGAATGTTGAACAAGTGTAAAAGTTTAACTCTCAATAAAGTTACCACACAACATTCCCCGTTTTATGCTTCTTACAAAAATAATTAAAGAAAAAAGGAAAACCATATGCACTGACACTTCATTACCTTACACGAATGCTGCTTTGATATTTTTTTAGTTTAACAAACATATCTATTTATATCAAAACATAAAAGTTTAAATCCATCACTAAATGAAAAAATACTTCATTATAACCAAATATTGAACTGAAACTTTTACACCAATAAGTTTATGAATATATGAGCTTATTTGGGCATAATGCACTTAAATAATGAGAACATAAAAAAGAAGTAAGTAGTAGAAAATGGTTAATTACATTTTAGTTCTTAACAGTATTTTACCTGTCTTGTGTGCACTTACATGTATGTGTCTGTGTGTGTATGTATTAAAAATGTTCAAACTCATTATCACAAGCCTCATCTGGTCAATGAACATTATTACAACTGACATTAACATGAGTTTTATCTATTCATATGAACTGTCCAGTGCTGACCACTTCTAAAGCCACTTTCAAAGGGTGATCACTAAGAACAGCCAGGTGTGAAGAGTGAGTGTTTAAGGTCAGGAATAGTTTGTTTATTGTTTGTTTGTTTTTTGGTGGGGGCTGTCAACAACACTATATATTGGCTATATTCAGTACCAAGAAAAGATATTACCCAAGTACATGGATCATCAAGCCAGCTGGGTTACAACAGACTCAACAGTGGATGAGATGATATTTATATTATCAAATTGCAGGAGCAACATCTGCTACAGTGTGAATTAGGTTAAGTTGATGAAGTGTAATTCTTGTTAATTTTATATGTCATTTACCAATCAGAATTAGAGTAAGGATTAATACAATAATATAATTTATTTGTTTTAATTCCAATTATTTGTTATTATTAATTATTTTTATATAAATTAATTTAACTCATTATTGAGACGAACTGGCAAACCAGCAAGCTAGTGTTATTGTTAATGACCTGAAAGTAAAAGCATATGTGACTTTATTTTATGTTTCCAAAAAAATTAAATGAAGACTAACAAATAAACTAGAAAAAAAAAACAGCTTAGGAATGAGCTATTAAACATACCTTTGAATTCAATACCGAGTCCACTAAATTCAAGTTCCACACCTAAAAGAGCTTCTCCCAATGTTTCATGATAATGACTTATACTTTTTTTGGGCCCAGGACAAAATGGTAAAGAAAAATATGTGTACGTTTCTTGTCTGTTGTGATATGGCCCAACAGTATTCATCCATAATACAACCTCTTCATTCTTTTCATACTGCAAGAAAATGCAAAAATAAAAGGTACATAATTTTACACTATTTTTGCATTTAGTTTAAAACCAGCAAATTTAAAGCAATTACATGTTAATTTATTTGGCAAATCATTATCAACAAATGAATATGCTTTAACTGCTTACAGAAAGAACACAATTTACACAGATAAGTTTCCCAATGCATATTTAAACTTCTTGTTTTTTCTGTTTCAATCAATGAAAAATTAATATTTATGAAATAGTTTTAAAAAATAAACTTTTATTACTTAGAAATATAATTGTGCTGAAGGAAATAATCACATTACAAGTTATACAGATGTTCTACATATTTGACCTATAAGATCACTGTAATCATAAATTATTTTTATCATCTTCAAATGTTCAAAAACAGGACAAAATGCTTATTGTTTTCAGAATAATTAAATAATTAGTGTCAGATTTAGCAACAAACTGAAAAAACACAATAATTCTTTTAAGTTGTACTTAATAATACTGCTAAGGCTGGCACTTTGCATTTTCAACCTGATAAGCAATAAAATTTTGACAACTGTCACAGAAAATTTTCTAAATACTTTCATATTTTATAATTTACAAGTTTATATGGAGTTTTCTGACAGCTAATACTGAATTTTTGTTATTTCAGAATTTAACTGAATTTCAAACCTCTGACATACTATAAGCTTTTTCTTGTTGAGTCATTCTTGCTCTGTCAACAACTACATATCTCTTGATACTGAATGTCCTTGATGCAATGGTCGAGAGGTTGGTGTAAAATTTTACCTAGATGAGAATCCTTCAGAAAGTGCCTGAAGGGAAGCCCATAGAGGGTGACCCCCAATGGCAGCAGATACATAGGGGCACACCCATGGGAGACTACACCTCATCTTGTCCAGGGTATCTTCTTCATCCAGAATGAAGGGGGGAAGAGGCAAATGAGCCCCATGTGTCATGGGGACAGATAGAATGAGAACATGACCATCTAAGCACTTGCACATAAAGTGGTTGGCAAGTCAATGTGTGTAGGTTAATTCACACTGAACCTTGTATGCTCACCTCAAATCTACTAAACAGACTCCAGCTACAGAAGGAGGGAATTTTAGTTATGTATTTTGGTTTTGTATAGTGTGTGCTCACTCAAATATACTGAAAAGACTCCAGCTGCAGGAGGAAGGCACATTATTTATATATTTTGGTTTTGTATAGTGTGTGCTCATCTCAACTGAAAAAACTCCAGCTGCAGGAGGAGGGTGGATCAGTTATGTATTTTGGTTTAATATAGTAAGTGCTCCCCTCAACTCACCTGAACAGACACTGTCTGCAGGAGAAAGGCACTTCAGTTATGTATAATTATTTTGCATATTGAGTGCTCACTGTACTAACAAGACACTGTCTGCAGGAGAAGGGCACTTCAGTTAGGTAAAGCAGTTTCATATAGTGAGTGCTCACTTCAACTCGACTGAACAGACACTGGCTGCAAGAAGAGGACACATCAGTTATGTATTATGGTTTCGTGCAATGAGTGCTCACCTCAACTTCACTGAACAGATGCTGGCAGCAAAAGGAGGGCGCAAGTGGTATGAGCTACTACCTAGAGGGGGTGACCCACACAACACTGCCCCACTTCTCACTGCATTGTACTAAGCCAAACAATGAGGATTCTCCACAGTCCAGCAACTAGGAACTAGTAAGTAGCAAGGGTCTCTCATGCTTCACTCAGTGAGAGGAAGGGGGAGAGAATTTCCATTGGTGACCTGGAGAAGAGCCCAGATCTTCATTGGACCTCTTTAACTGAAGACAGTGCAATGGGTGACCATGAAACCCTACTTTTAAAAGCCAGGAAGCACACCCCAAAGAGGTGGGTAGATCACTTCTCTGGTGATGGCTTTTTCCATAATAGTCCAGGAATAGCAGAGGGAGTCCTGGATTTGAAACCACAGTAAAATGAACCACCTGGTGCTCAATGACAGTAATATTGCTGACCATCAGCATGCTAACAGTTGTCATTACGTTAGTGGGAGTCTCCTCTTGAGTCAAATTGAAGAGTGTTAGAACCTTGGGAGAGATTGAAACATGAATTCACAATCCAGATGATCCACAAAATACCTGATTTATTATTTATTTGTATAAATAAAAGTTGACTGGGTTTGTTAATGGTACATAGGCCTAGGTCATTGACAGAATGATGACATTGAAAAGCATTGGGAAATAGTACTGTAAAATAAACCTTATCACAAGCAATGGAACACATACCCAAAAATTACAAATTTTATTAAAAGAAGAGTTCAAATTTAGAATTTTGGTATCTTTCTTTCTGACATTCATGAAAACTACAGAAAGAAACACTATATTATCAAAGTATAAAATAACAAGTGCAAAAATTTCATGAATTTCCAGAAAAATGCACTTCTGGAAAAAGCAATGCTGAGAAAAAGGATAAGCCTTTGTTCAAATGCCAGTATTCATGAGGATTACTGTGCATGGAGGATGTGTTACCCTCCTATGCCAGCATAGTCCATGTTCATATGTTAGAGGTAGGAGCTTCATTCAAGGCTTGTGAAATGCACAAAAATATTCTTGGCAGTAGCATGAGGTAATAGCTCTTTGGTGTTTATAGAGGTGAGTAAACATTTCTGAAACAAAATTATTGTAACTAAATTACAAAAGTTAACATTTTCTTACATTGAAAATGCATTTCCAATAGATACTTATCCTCTCACACAAAGCTATCTTGATCTTCTTTCTATCCTCTAAGCATTGCTAAAAAAGAAACATATCATGTGACTCCTCTCCGCCAATAGTATTGCACCACCTTATTGGTACAGCTAGCTCCAATTGAGGATGGAGCAGGAATAGCTGAGGGAGTTAGCTGCACCAATATAAGTGGCACAATACTATTGGTGCAGAGTAGTCAAATGTTATGTATATGTTCAATACTTGTGTGAAATTGGTGGGGTATATAAACTGGTGTGCTGTGCATAAAGTTTCTTTAGCAATACTTAGAGGGCAGAAAGATTGAGATAACTTTGTGTGAAAGGAGGTAAGATTTTATCAGAATAAGTAGCATTTTATCATCATGAATTTTTATTATTAATCATATTTATTTGGAAAAAATAAAAAAGCAAAATTTAACACTAACACAACAAAAAATATCCTATATGTTATTATACACTTCCAAGAGCACTATGACCATGTATCTTAGATGAAGTTATTAATTGTTGTTGCATCTCTTTTCCATTTTTATGAGTCCTGTGAATGCAGAAAGAGTTTGTTTTTTTTATATCAAATTGATTTATTTTCTGTTCATAATTCATATCTTTGCACTAACATGACCAGTGGTGATCACAATTTTGACTAATAACTGGAGGCGAAGATTCACTGCATATCAAAACTAATTATAAATAATATTATACATATTAGCAAGTTGTGTTGGGTAGCACTGTGAGATATGTTACTGTGGTAACATCTTGTATATATCACATACCCAGATATCAAAATTCCAACTAATTAGCAATGCAAAGTTTAAAATAATCTGAGAGACATGTTTCTATAAATATGATGGAATACTTAGAATATTAGGTTTCAAACTGTGTTATAAGATCTTAACTAGAGCATATAGATGTTAAACTTAAATGATAAATCACATATATTCAAGAACTACTGCTACTAACCTATCTGAAAACTTAATATTTCAATGTTATACTCTAAACATGTCAACTATGACAGTGTAATGATGAAGGTGGAAAGGTATCTGTTTGGAACTTGAACCTTGACAACTTTGTAGTACCCCAATGCCAGCTAAAACTCCAAGGATTATAAATTCTAATTCAATACACTGGTGGAAAAGTATGCTAAGCTGATTAAATTTGTAACATAAATTAAACAATTCAAGTTCATGATAGGCTAAGAGAATGACCTATTGTACCGTATATACATGACTATGTTGTCAGCTGAAGTTTACCAGGACACAAATGTTGTACGCATGAAATTGTCAGGTTGTGCTGCATATTTAAAAAATGCCTGCTGTGCTTATTTGAGCACAGAATCCTCATTTCACCCTAGTTTTAAGGCAAAGCTCTGCCAGCTAAGCAGTCAATACTATAACTTTGAGAATAGACAGTGAATGAATGAATGCTAAAATTAAACACAAACCACTTGCCAACTTATAAAACATGCTTGCAAAGATCTCCAAGTGCTAGCCAGTATTTTACAGGTGTTGAACTAAGGAGAACACATGTTATACACATACAGAAACTAGTGGTAACAGATATTTTTAGCTTTGATTCTATGACAAACTAATTCAATGTCATTATTCTATCAATGTATTGTAGTGTAATTCAATAATACTTTATTGTGAGTTAAAACTGTAGATTGCTATAAGTACTATATAATTATGTACATGAATATAACTTAAGGACAACAACAGACCAGTTGATCCATTTAGACCATCCATCTGCTAAATTTTAAAATGAAATAAAACATTCTTAAACAGACCAGATCATTCAAATATTTTCAACCCTTCCTTAAACACTTAAATCAACTGCATCCACCACATCTGAAATCAAACCATTCCAAAGGTCAACTACCCTGTTAAAAAAATAAAGTTGATTTAGCTTAAAATGACCCCTGCACTGCCAAAATTTATATTTGTGTCCCATAGTCTTATCATTCTCACAATTATATACAATGCATCAACACTGTCAATAGTGGAGTAGTCAAATAGTGGAATTTGCTAACAAAATAATCGTTAAGCTCATTAACCTATTCCATTAAACTAACTAATTATTCACGTGAGATGACTAAAAACAACAAAAAAGAATCTTTTTACGTGAGTTAACTAGAAAAAATAATTATGACTCTACAAATTGTGTTTCAATAGCTCTTTGTACTTAATAACAAACATTATGGTAATATTTCAATAACTTAAGTATTTGGAATAATCAAAAATAGTAATAACTGGAAATCTCTATATTCAATTAGTTGATTACTTTCATGAAGCTTGAATTGACTGAAAATCATAATGGTAATAATTCAATTATTGGATAGTTGAAATAACTGAAAACAGTGATAGGAGGAAACATAAATTTCAATTAGTTGAATATTTTCATGACATTAATCGATTTAATCATAATTTAAACTAATGTATAGTTGGAATAATCCAAATGAGTAATAGCTGAAACACCAGTTGATTAGTTTCATGATATTAACTGATGATTTCATTGTAATTTTGATTAATTTACTGTCTTATGTTTTATTAATCAATGTAATGGATGCTCCTAAGTACTTGATTATATTGAGTAAGTGAATTCATTTCTCAGCTTTAGATAGGACAGAAATTTATGATCTGAAAAAAAAAACATGTTAGCTACAGATAAGAAAGTTTTATTTTGCTAACAGGATGACTGATTTAAGGAATAAGTTGCTATTAGCAATAGTAAAAACTAGCACTTTAAGTGAAAATAAAAGATTTCTTAAACAATAAAAGTGGGTTTAAATTTTGACTATTCTAAAGAGTGGGTTTGAAATGACAGCCATTAAAGAACTAAATCATCCCTTGTTGTACATGTTTCATTTTGATCTTTTCTGAGTGTGTGTACGTGTGATTGGAGCAGTCATATTTTTAATTATTTTTTAGATAGATGAAATCCTAAGCATATATACTGTGTATACTTCTGAAATAATCTCTACTTTGTTTTGCTTTCCATTACAGGGTCCCTTTTTTTTTACATTATAGCTCATACTTGGAGTTGCTTCTAACATGCAATAAGCTTAATCCATTTAGTGCCAAAGATACAACATCTAAAACGATATGATTTCTCTGTATACCTATATATAATGGTGTCCAAGAAAAGCAGCTTTTTAAGACTTATTTTCACTATTTTCAACAGTAATATGAAAGAATGCATGAGAAAGATGCATAAATGCATAAGATGCATAAATTTTATAAATACATAAAACATTATATAATTGACTGCGCAAACAGAGAAGCCACAGAATTCAATGAAGAGAATGATGTATGATCCTTTTTATATATGATTGTTTTATTTACTTTTCATAAAATTTATATTCTACATATAATACTAAATGCCATCAAGCTTTCCTGACTTCAGATTAAAACCATCACAAAAGATGCCAAATAACCATGTAAGAGTAAAACATTGAAAACTAAACTGACAGCTCACACTGTATATGAACTAAGCATAGTGGCATTATTTCTCAGTTAGCTTTGAAAAATAACAAAAACACATCAAATATATTGAATAAAAAATTCTGGCTGGTCCTCTAAATTGACCAATACAAAAAATTTCAATATAATAATTATGATAATGTTAAACTGATTAAACTTAACAGATGTACAAAACTAAATGTAAGAAAACAACCAATTTTTCAAAATAAAATTTCCAAATTCATTATTTGATATAATGCAGGTATATGCTGCTAGAGTAATGTTTGACCTGAAAATCTGATATAATGATATATTGGATACTGATAGTATGTCTAATTACCTGGTAATATTGTCAAATGTCGAAATCTAGCTATACTGCTAAAATCAGAATCAAGAAATCTGATCCAAACTTTGAACAGAGAACAGACACTTTTCTTGATACTTTTGTTAAGCCAATTTTTCCAGGATTTTATACTTTAACAGCCTGAATAAGTTTAATCCCCTTTTTTACTTGGTTTTTTATTATCTTGGTCATCTTTGAGGGCAAGCTCTACAAACTTAACAATTCAGCATTCTTCTATGTTTGAATTACAAGAATCTAGGATGTGCTGGATGTCAAGTTTTTTTTTTTTCAACTTAGAGATAGCAAATAAACATATATACAACAGGAATTAGGCATACATAAAGCTAAAGGTGCAGTTAATGGTGCTATTATATGAAATAAGTCACCATTATTCTCTGCTTCATGTATCATTACTTAATATATATGATTCAGTGTATTAATATTCAGTACTATCAGCTTTTTCATGCTTCATGTTAGGCATTTTCCCTTAAGGGGCATACTTTAATATGCATTTAAATGGGATATTCATTGGGTATTAACTACATGCCCAAAGTTTATACTGAGTGTTTATTTTCTTAGTTTAATCATAATACTTTTGTTCTCAATCCAACAGAATTTTTTTTGGTACATATCTGGTATTCTATTCCTATATCCTATAATTGAGCAAACTGAGTATCTGATACATCACTAATTTTGGAATTGTTTTGTCTGAAGGACAGAAAACCAGGTGATTTTATTCATGTTTTCAATATTGTTAGAAGTAAAGATAATCTTCTTATGAGTGTTCTGTTTAAGTGGTGGAATGAAATGGTTATTAAAATTCTAGGGATAGTTCTAATTGCTGAAAAAAACTAGAAATGGATTGAAAAGTACAAAATTCTAAACAAAATAGTAGCCTTTTATGATGTTGCCCATTAAAGTGTTTATAAAAAATGTAGAAGGAAGTGGCTGGATAATGTCAGAAGCTAACAAACACATTTTCACATTGCCTATGAATCTCCCCAGAGCCTAGAAAGCCCACACAACAACTATCCTGGTGCCATATATGAATTAATATCTACGAAGAGAATATATACAATTTCATTCTCTATCTACTTCGGTGCATAGTATATGCAGTATTTGTAGTCCTTTTCAGAACTTTTAAGTTCTTTTGGTAATCAGACCTACCAAAACTGTAGGTGTATCAAAAGTTGATATATATATACATGTACTGTGATTTTGTGAAGACTTACTGATAGCGATATTGATATTTTGATAAGATTCTAGAATTAACAAATTAAAACTTTAATTTTAATGGAGTTGTTGAGAAAGTAAAATATTAGATAGAAAATTGGCTTAATCAAGCTAATGGTATAATTTATTAATTCTAAGGTAGATAAGGCATATATTTTAACTTCAAAAGTTCTACATCTTGAAAACAATGTCTCACCTTGTGATTGTGTTCGTCGGCGTTAACATGATTCAAATGCAAGAATATCATAGAAATCAGCACTCTCAAAGTCAAACATCCCAATATCGCCGGCAATCGGTAACAATATAAGATCTTCAACTTCATGCTGGATGTTTGACAATAAAAATAATACCAAAACCTGTCCAAAACTATTAGATACTTAAAACATGCACGATAAAGTGTTTCTGCTTTTATTAATTTTTTCCACTAAAGTTGAAATATATTAACTTTGAAATATTTTTATTTCAGCTGATGCGTACATTTAGCCTTGACAACAAGAAAACACTTAAAAAGCGCCACCTGAAGCCAATTGTTAATGGAATATCTTTTTTCAAAAAAATTAATTTTTACTGGAGTCTCCATTTCTGAAATGAAACAAATTCCTAAAAGAGATTTATTATTCTGAAGTAGATAAGTTTTTCATGTGGCACAAAACTTACTATCAAATATCAAACGCCAAGACAGTTTATATGTAGTTGAATAAGAAGCTATAACATTAGAAATAAAAAGTGTTGCAATGTTGTCCAGTTATATTTGTAAGGATTCGGTCCTGCTTTCACTAATACATCTCAATCTATAAACATTTATACGTAAATATGTATTTAAATCTTAAGGAACAAATATTCAAAACAATTTTTACTACTCCAACTGTCCCCATTTGCTCAGCAGTAAGTTTAAGGACTTATAATACGAAAGTTCGAGGCTCGATCCACGTGGCTGGCATGACATTTTTTTACTTAACAACAAACAAATAATTAAACGGATACCACAAATTTTCAAGTACAGATTTTGCTTATTAACTGTGAATTGTTAGCACTATTTGTGTAAATTTACTGCGATAACAGGGGCAGAGAAACCTTGACACCAGACAGTCAGTGGGAGACTGTATTGCTCAATAAGAGAGCATTGAGAAATGTTAGAGTCAAAAGGAAAGTCAAAATAGGGAGGTCACTAAAGCTCATTTCATGCACACTTAGATGAACCAGAAAAGAGCAATCATGAATGAGTCATCTAAACTACAAGTACTATAATACATATTTCAAAGAATAGGAAGATGCAAAGCAAGTGATTTGGAATTAAGTCTGACCATTTTCATGAAGAATTTGTCGATAATCAAGAAAGGAATAAAAAAAAACTCTCTAAAGGTTGCCCTAGATATACTTTAGGGACAATTAAGTATGTTGACCACCTCGGAGCATCTTTGTAGATGCAGTAATCTTGCTGGAGGTGGCCTGTAACATCACTTCAATAATCTCATACATGTGAGGCAATCTTCCAACAGAAAAAAACCGAGGATTGGCTTTCTTTTCCCATGGATTGTCCTACTTAGTTAACTGTGGTTGTCTAGGTCATAGACATGAATGAAATCTGGAAATAATTATTTTTACTAATTGGTAAAAGGTCGAAAATGAGGTAGCTAGTAATAAAGAATTGTGGGTGTTTAGAGTAAAACTTATGTTTGAAAAGTTGTTATTGTGGCTTTGGTAGGTCAAAAGCTCAGTAAGCGAGTTAGAGTTAAAAGTGACATAACTGGTCAGTACAAGATCCTTCTTGAATAGTATCATGGGAACTAACTAGAGATTACCTGACATTTCTTCATACCAAGTATATTTATATACTTCTGTTCAAAGAAATGTTTCCAAGCACCAGTGGATGTTCCAAATCCAATAAATTCCTGAAATGATTACCTTTCAATCTATCCTTGCCACTCTTCTTGCCAGGTAATTGCCCATCAACGTGCAACCACAGATAAAGTGACTTTGTACAAAATAACACTGATAAAGTGTTAAAAGTTTTCCAACACTGAGAAATAGTTTATTTCCACAAAATTCCATTGCATATGTTATAACCAGATGGTAAAACGACAACACCCTGCGGCTTTTCAAATAGTGTGAAAGATTGACCTAAAGACCATAAAAGCTGCCTTCGATATCCAGCAGTTTTTTTTATAAAACGTAGAAAACATAAACTAACACCAACATTCCTCCATTTAAGGCTTGCAAATTAAAAATTCCAGAACTCAGCTGCATACGCTGCCAGCCAAAGCCGACTTTTAGGGAAAGAACTAAAACTAAAACACAAGCAATACTGACAACATCCATCTAACCTAGAACGCCAACATCAGAATCTCCAAAAGTCATTTTCGTATATTGATTTTATTCATTTGACGTGCTTAATTCATAAGAATAACCAGAAATTAACAAACAGACAAGAACTAGTCTAAAATATAAAACTTCAAAAACTGCGACTTTATTCATCTTTCTCTCCAGATTTAAATCCTGATAATGTAATATTTAATCTGAGTGATCTTCAACTTGATGATGATTGTAAATGAGTTCTAACCAAAGGCCTTAATTTTAGTATTTCAACTTTCATTCTAAACTATGCTAATTACATTTATAATTTGTAAAGTCTTACACGACCTTTATTTCCTTTCCGTTGTTCACTAGCCCAAACAAGAAAACAGCGAACGATTTTACAAATCCCTAACTAAAAAGCATTACTCTTTCGTCCTTCTACAAATGTAACTCTTATCATCCTATCTCTCCATTAAACAATTCTATTAACCCTCTGTCCAAGAACAAAAATATTATTGTCACTAAACCAGATAAAAGTAATTTTGTTGTCATTATGAAAAAAACTGATTATAGTGATAAAATGAATCATCAGCTCAGTGACCCCTGTAATTAAATATATAAAAAAATAGACACACATTTGCTATACGTAACTTTTAATAAAGAAAATAAGATCCTACTTTTTCTCAGGAGCCTTAGAGATCAAAATATTTCTCTGAAACAAGTTTCCACCAAATAGCACAAAAGCTGGTATTCTTTGTGGCCTACCCAAAGTGAACTAAACTGAATACTCTCTCTGTCCTATTTTCTCTCCTGCAGTTATAACCTCTCCAAATTTATTGTTTCTGTTCTTAAACCCATCACTTTGAATGAATTTACTTTCGCCAATTCTTTTACCTTTAAAGCTTTTGATATCTCTAAAAATTCCGTTGCCGATTAATATATTGTGGTCAGTTTTGATATTGAATTTCTCTATACTAATATTTATCTTGATCAAACTTTAAATTTAATCATGGACCTTCTTTGTCTTCCTGACACTGAGTGGTAGCTTGGTTTCACCCATAAACAGTTCTTGGAACTTTCTGTTCTCTTCACTAAGTTAAACCATTTCCTCTTTAATAATGTCGTTTATGATCAGATAGAAAAAATTGTCATTGGATACCCACTAGACTCACTGTTAGCCAATATTTGTGTATGCTACCATGAACGCAATTTGCTAGAAAATTGCCCAGGTGAATTCAAACATGTACTGTACAAATGCTATACTGTTGCCACTTTTCTAAATTTCCTACTCACCTGAATTCCCAACACCTCAGTATCAAGTTCACATTCGAACTGACAGAAAACAAATCTTTACCTTCCGTGACATCATGATTACCAAAGAAGGCAAACATTTTTCAATCTCTGTTTATATAAAAGTACTTTTTCGGCCTTTATACAGGCTTTATCCCCAACTTCTTTAAACAAAGCCTAGTCACGTTTTAATTTGTACTCGAATTAACTTATCTTACATGGACAACTCACACTTTTGAACAGACATCTGTTAAACAATGGCTATCAAACTGACTTTCCAACAAACATTACAGGTAAATTTCTGAAGAACAAATTCCAGTCACTTGCTGCTGTGCAAACCATCCCCAAATTTCTCCTCATTATCGGCTTTTCTTTTATGGGCTCAAAAACCTTACAACTTAAAAAACAATTAATATTTTTAATAAACAACTTCTACCCTCAAATTCAGCTCAGACTAACAATATAGACGTAGTCTCCGTATTAAACACTTATATCAATATAAAGATCAAATACTTATACTTATTGTTCATGACTCGTGTATAAGTACATGTATGGTGACTATAAGGTCAAGTACATTGACAAAACAAAACACTAGAAAACTAGAGTCTGTGAACATTTAGGAGTATCATATAGAATGAATCATCCATTACTTAAACCCAGCCACTCATTTATTCATTCACATGTTGAAATCACGGGTCACAGTATTTCATATAATGATTTCTCTATCATTACTGCATGATATTCAGATTTTGAACTCTACATTAATAAAAGTTGACTCATAGCTAAAGACCACCCTACTCTTAACGCCTTATAGACCTTCTTAGACCTAAAATTATTTTAAATTTACACACTTAAAACTCAGCTGCTTGTTAAAAATAGTTATAATTGTTTCATGGAACTCATAATTTACGATTCACTCATAACATATTCTATAATCTATTTTTCCTTCTGTTTACCATTTTACTAAATATCTAAGTAAATTATTGATTGAGGATACTTTAGCATTAGTAAATAGATATCATTATAACATTATTTTCAAATTTTGCTGAAGATAAAATAAGTGTATTCCGAAATGTTTGAACATTTTGTAAATAAAATTGTTTTTTGTTTGTCAACCATCTTCATCTTTATTATTAGACGTGCAGATATCCTTGTTGCTTTGTGCCAATAAACTTCAATTATAATTAGATTCATTTCCCCATAATGAATTCATGTACGGCTGTTTGGTAATTCATGCATAGCAGTGGAAGATCTTGATTCCATGTTTTCTAGTGTTTATCCAAATAAATGCTGTCAGAAGATGGATGAGGGGCTTTTGTCCTTGTCTTCCTGATTTCAGAGATCTGACACATATACGCAAACTTGGCTGATTCAAAATTTTGTCCCTGATCTGCGTGAGGTTCCACAGGCACCCCAAATCCAATTCGTTGACGAGTTTTCTTGCAACAATTTCTGCTTCCCGGTGAGGAACAGCACATGTTCCTTGCAATTTAATGAAATAGTCCATCACAACCATAATGTGTTTATTCCTACTGTTACTCTGTGGTAGAGGGCCAGGCACATCAACAGTAACTCTATCAGGTGGTGCTCCATGCTGTTTCTTTTGTGAACCTTTGCATTCAAAACATAGTTCACTTGATTTACACCGATTCTCTACAAATTCATAGCACATAACTTAATAGAAGTGTTCTTTTACTCTTTCCAATAGCTTCTTAATACCTAAGTGTCTAATCATTGGAAGGCCATGGAGATGATGGATTACTTCGAAATGTAGAGATTGTGAAAATACTAAGTGTAGTCATTCTTTCTATTTACTGGTGTCTTCCAACTTTTGAAAAAACAACGCCTCTTGTAGGCATAATGAATCCCACTGAGCCCAGTACATCTTTATCTTTGGGCTATGTGAATTG